GCTCTAATCAGGGAAGACCTAAGTTAGGAGGACTTGGCTTGGGGATCTGAAAATACGAAGGGGAAGAAATTTCCCAGCCAAATTTGTCACACACATGAGCTGTGTAGGTCATTGATTCAGGATTGCCTGTGAAACCTGCATTCAGCAGTCTTGCCCTGGAATAGTGCAGCTTCTTAACAGCCTGGTAGAGTGTGCAGCTGCTGAGTCAGTGCTAAACAGAAAGAAAAGGAGAAAGAAGAACGAGAGAGAGGAGAGGAGAGGAGAGGAGAGGAGAGGAGAGGAGAGGAGAGGGGAGGGGAGGGGAGGGGAGGGGAGGGGAGGGGAGGGGAGGGGAGGGGAGGGGAGGGGAGGGGAGGGGAGGGGAGGGGAGGGGAGGGGAGGGGAGGGGAGGGGAGGGGAGGGGAGGGGAGGGGAGGGGAGGGGAGGGGAGGGGAGGAGAGGGGAGGAGAGGAGAAGAGAGGGGAGGGGAGGAGAGGAGAGGAGAGGAGAGGGGAGGAGAGGGGAGGGGAGGGGAGGAGAGGAGAGGAGAGGGGAGGGGAGGGGAGGGGAGGAGAGGAGAGGGGAGGGGAGGAGAGGGGAGGAGAGGGGAGGGGAGGGGAGGGGAGGAGAGGAGAGGGGAGGGGAGGAGAGGGCGAGAGAGAGAATAAAACAGGTACAGAAGAGGGCTCTTTTTCCTTTCATTTCCTGGCTGTCCTTACTCTGGACCTGCCTCAAATTTCATGGTCTCAAGAGAAAGGGGAACAATGTACAGTTTCTCATAGGGAGATATATTTTCAGGTGCTCCCAAGTGAGAAATTTAAATTTTACATATTCATTTTTATGACATCTGTAAAAAGAAAAATGTTAGCAAACCCAACCCATTCCTTCCCAAATCAGTTGGCTTGGACCTGGGGGTCTAGGTGAAAGTTCCCAGCTCATTAGCATGCACTCACTTTTTCCATTTCTCCCCTCTACTTCCAGCTTAATGGCACTGAGAGGGTCCTGGCAAAGTTGAACATAGCAAGTGGCTTAGACTGACACAGAAATTCTCTGTCATGAGGTCAACACCATATTAGTGGTTGACCTCCTAGACGGCGATGGGACTAGGCACTGAGGGGCAATAGAATGCACCTCAATCATCCATCCTTGTTTCCATCCTGCAAAACCTACACAAATAGTTCAGCCTCTCCTCATCTATTTCTGGATCCCCTCGATTATAAAGGTCTCGTTCCCCTAAGCCACCACAGCATGTGGCAACTCTGACAAGTTGCATTTCCTGCCTTATTTCTCCCTTAGGTGTTTCTCCTTACCCCTGATAGCTTGTAAATTCCTGGTTTACTATTTACCAACATACCCTAGTTTCTGCTGGGCACTCTCCTACTCATTGTAAGCCATAAATAATGGTAGGATAGAACAGATGCAAAAGTTGAAAATAAGGAAATTTCCATCAAGGAAATGACTCAATAAAACCTGGTACATTCATATCCAGGAAACAGATTTTTTTATTTGTTTTTATGACTTATAACTAATAAATTTATCTAGAGAGTGTCCCAGAACATATTTTTTCATTTTAAAAATAAAACTAAATTATGAGTTCACATATATAATACACACACACACACACACACACACACCACACACACACACACACACAACATATCTTCATGTGTATATCTGTGTAAAACCATATAAATGCACAGAAAAACAATATTAAGAATACACCAAGGGAGAAACAAGATGGCAGCATAGGTAAATGCTGACACTCGCCAACTCCTATAACCCATTAAAATTACGACTAAAATACAGAATAGCCATCATTCATAATCACCTGAAATCTGTCTGAATGGAAGTCCTACAACTAGAAAAGAAAAGAAAGAAGCACATTGAAACTGGTAGGAGGGGCTAAGGTGTGAAATGGGCTGGTCCAACATTCACATGTGGCAATTTTTTAATCAGGAGGGATAACTCCACTGTGGAAGACTTCTATGAAGAGCAAGGGATCCCACATCAGACCACGGTTCCAGAGCTGGGAAGAGAAGTTCTTGTAACTTCGGGCTGTAAAAACCAGCAGGGAATGTGGCTGAGTGACATGGAGGCTGCTGGAAACTCAGGCAGTTCCTCTTTAAAGGCTGATGCACAAACTTACTCAGACTCACTCCCTCTGAGATCCAGTGCTGAGGAGCAGCAGGGGGAAGGGGTCCAGGGACATACAGGGAGGAACTGGATTATCTGGCATTGGAGAAAGAACTTGGAGTTAGCTTTCTCCCAGACAGGAATGCAAGAAGGGATCATTGTTACTGTTCTGGGACCTCCACTGTTGCAGAGCTGTCTGGAAGCCATATTTGGGTTTCCATCAGCCTGGCTTACACTGTTCACTCCACCCTGGTGATTCCCTGAGACTCCACCCTTCTAATTTGCAGCCATATCCAAACTGTTTGCAGAGGCTTTTCCATATGTATGGCCTGTCCTGATCAGGCTTCAGACTTTTCTAAATAGTTCAAACAAGCATCAGCTGGCATCATCAATAAGAGGCCCACAATACAGCACTAGCACCAGCCTGCCTTTCTTTATAGCTTGGCCTCACTTGGGCACTTCCAAACCCAATACAAGCAGCAGCCATCTGCAGATTGCTGTGTAGCTCCTGCTGGGTGGCCTCAGGCAGTGGCTGACTTTGTACCTCCAAGGAGGCCCCAGAGCCAGTGTACCTGGTGGACAGCTTCAGACCATACCAGACTATAATTTTATATATCCACAAGTGACTCACTCAAGGGGCAGACTCAGTGAGCACCAAAGCCCCACTGAAACTAGTCCTGTTCCATAGGCATGTCTCCTGTATAGCAGCTCTTCCATTCTAGTCTCAGCTGGTCTCACAGCCAATTGGCCTGGAGGTCAATTCCTCCCAGGCATGTCAACAGCAATCAAGGCTCAACTACAAGACTGTGCACACAACCCACACAAATGTACACCTAGAGTGCCCAGCTCAGGTGACTGAGGATGCTGAGCCACTGGGTCCTATAGGACACCTACTACACAAGGCCACTCTATCAACTCAAGGAGATAGAAGCTCTTCCTAACACATAGAAACAAACACAGGGAAGCAGTCAAAAAGCAGAGCAAAGAAACATGTCACAAATGAAAGAACAGAAGAAAAAAAAAACACAACTAAATAAAATGAAAGCAATAAAACTACTAGATACAGAGTTCAAAACAATGGTTATAAGGTTGCTCAAAGATCTTAATTAGAGCTTTAGGGAACTTTGTGAGATTTCAAGTATTTTAGTGAGAATTTCAAGAACCTTAGAACATTAAAGACATGAAAAAGTCAGAAATTAAGTGTACACTAACTGAAATAAAGAATAATTTAGAGGTATTCAACAGCAGAGTAGAGAATTCCATGAGTCAAATCAACAAATGGGAATACGAGGAAGCAAAAAACACACAATCAGAAGAACAAAAAGAATAAAGAATAAAAAGATATGAAGATAGTATAGGGAGCCTCTGGAACAACTTCAAGCCTATCAACATTAGCATTATGGGGGTGTCAGAAGGAGAGAGAAGGCAAGATATTGAAAACCTATTTGAAGAAATAATGGTAGAAAATTTCCGCAACCTGGTGAAAGATATAGACTTACAGACCAGGAAGCGCAAAGAGTCCCAAACAAGAGGGGCACAAAAGGCCCACACCAAGACATATCATAATTAAAATGCCAAGGATTAAAGACAAAGAAAGAATCTTAAAAGCAGCAAGAGGAAAGAAGTTATTACCTACAAGGGAGTGCCCATACAACTATCAGCTGATTTCTCAACAGAAACTTTGCAGGCCAGATGGGAGTGGCAAGAAATAGTCAAAGTGATAAATACCAAGGACCTATAACCAAGATTACTCTACCCAGCAAAGCTATCATTTAGGATTGAAGGTCAGATAAAGAGCTTCACAGACAAGAAAAAGCTAAAGGAGTTCATCACCACTAAACCAGTATTACGTGAAATGTTGAAAAGTATCCTTTAAGAAGAGGGAGAGGGAGAGAGAGAGGGGGAGAGGATGAGGAGAAGAAAAAAAGAGAAAAAAAGAGAAAAAATATGAAAATAAAATGTCAATAAATACATATCTATCAACAACTGAATCTAAAAATCAAAATAACCAAACAAGAAATCTAATGAACAAAATAAACTGATGAATAAAGTAGAAACAGAGGCATGGAAACATGAAACAGATTGATGAATCTCACATGGAAGGGAGGATGAGAAGTGGGAAGAGAATAACTAAAGAATTTATATGCATACTAGAGACCTGGTGCATAGATTCGGCCTGGCCTATGGGGATCAGGCTGAAACTGGTAGGGTCCCAGATTGTGAGAGGGTGCAGGCCAGGCAGAGGGACCCCACCAGTGCATGATTGGGATTGAGGAAGGACTGCAGGAGATCTCCAGGGCATTTCCAGGCTGTCTTGCCCAGTTCAGATTGGCCAGACTCCAGCAACCTACCAGCTGGAGTGTCTGCCCCCTGTGGTCAGTGTGCAAAATAACGACTGGTTAATCAGTTGAAGAGTCAGACACTTAGCATATTAGGCTTTTATTATATAGGATATGCATTACGTATAGACACAGACAATAGGGTGGTAAAAGTCTGAGGCTGGGTGGAATTGGATGGAGGGGAGCAATTGGGGCAGGTTGTGGGGGAGGGTAGGAAAGGGAATATCTGTAACACTCTCAACAATAAAGATTCAAAAAAGAAAAAGAACATATACCAAACTAGTAACAGTGATTATTTCTAAAACAGAAAGTATAATTAAACAGGGATTAATAGGGAAGTTAACTTTATCTATAGTGTTTACATTTTTTACAATCAAGAATGTATTGATGTATTGATGTATTACTAGTATAATTAAAAATAAATAAAAAAATAGTCCTGGCCAGTGGCTCACTTGATTGAAGCATTGAACCATACACCAAAAGGTTTTGGGTTCAACTACTGGTCAGGGCACATACCTAGGCTTCAGGTTCAATCCATGGTCGGGGTAACTACTGGAGGCAATCAATCAATGTTTCTCTTTCACATCCACGTTTTTCTCCATGTGTTTCCCTTCCTCTCTCTAAAATTAATAAAACATATCCATGGTTTAAAAATATAAATTAAAAAGCCAAATAAATAAACATTTTAAAGCCTAAATTATTACATGAGATTGTTTCATCCTGTAGAACTTTGCTTTAATGAGTTAAAGAGCTGAGGAAGGCAGAACTAGTCCCACCTGGGCAAGGGTTTGTTTATCCTCCTTATCTCAAGTTAGAGCCAACAATGCTAATGATTCTGAATAGCACTGGCCACTCCTTGGCTATCTCATCCCCTCCCACCCACAACTTCAACTATCACCTCTCTGTGGATGACTCCCAAATGCCTCTTTCTAGACACAGCCTCTCCCACAAGCTACAGTTCTGACTTTCCAACTTCCTGTTGAGTAGAGCCAACACCCTGTGCACAAAACCAGACTACTGTTCTCCCTTCTCTTCCTAATCCAATTATTTCACCTAATTTCCTCCTTCCTATTAACTGGCACCTCCATTTTTCCAGGAACCCAGAAAGGAAACTTCCTAGTCATCTTTAGCCCTCTTTATCCATACATCCACACAGTTAGCTGTCATATACTAATGATTTTTCTAAAATGTTCTTTCCCGCCTAAACCGGTTTGGCTCCGTGGATAGAGTGTCAGTCTGTGGACTGAAAGGTCCCAGATACAATTCTGTTTAAGGGCACTACGTTGGTTGTGGGCACATCCTCAGTAGGGGGTGTGCAGGAGGCAGCTGATTGATGTTTCTCTCTCATCAATGTTTCTAACTCTCTATCCCTCTCTCTTCCTCTCTGTAAAAAATCAATAAAATATATTTTTGAAAATAAATAAAATGTTCTTTCCCAACTGTTAATTCCCTTTGTTGTCATTGACACCACTCCAGTTCTGTTCCTTTACATCCATCAACTGGCTAGTGGAATCACCTTGCCCCTGACTGCTTTGATCCACCTGCTAGATGCCTGACTTCCCATCTGGGAAGGCCCAACATTCCAGCCTGTTGAGGTCATATTGAGCCTCCCCATTCCATCACCTATTATTATTAGCTATCCTCCCAACTTTGAGCCATCTGAAAATTTGGGAAATAAGGCTTTATGTCTTCATCCAAGTATCTAATAAAAATGTTAAAGTGGCATGAGCCAAAGACAAGCCTCTGGACTACAGATACCTTTTCAAGGGAACAAAGAGTTTATCCCTGGAGGAAAGAAAGTTACTTAAACAGAAAATTAGTGTCAGATGTTTTTCATATACCATCTAGTTTATACATTATAGCAATTCCTGGTACAAGGTATTGTTATCCTAATTTTAAAGGTTTTAAAACTAAAATTCAGAGTGGTTAGGTAACTGTGAAAAGAAAAGCCTCACAGCTATTAAATAGTAGAGTTTTTATTTGAAACTATGTCTGTTGATTCTAGAGCTCATGGATTTTCCACCAAACCATCGAAATCTTTCATGGATCTTCACATTCTGGAAGATAAAATACATACCTCTTAATTTGAAATAAGGACCTCCCACATTCTAACTCTAAATCTACTTTTATAATAACAGTAGAATCTATGCCATGTCTCAAACACAGTAGTAATGTTTTACATGCTTTATTTCATTTAATTTTCACCACAAACATATGAGGGATAAACTACAATTATATCTATTTCCTGAGTCTGAAACTGGTGCACACTGAAATAAAAAATAGTTTAGCCCTAGCCGGTTTGGCTCAGTGGATAGAGCATTGGTCTATGGACTGAAGGGTCCAGGGTTAGATTCCAATCCAGGGCACATACCTGGGTTGCAGGCTTGATCCCTAGTGGGGAGCATTCAGGAGGCAGCTGATCAATGATTCTTTCTCATTATTGATGTTTCTATCCCTCCCTCTTCCTTCTTCTCTGAAATCAATAAAAGTATATATTTTTTAAAAATAATTTAACCTATAAATCAAAGATTATCTCAAAGTAAATTTTTAAGAAATAGTTTACTACCCAGTTAGTAACTAGGAAAGCTGGATTTCAAACTGGGGCCTGCCTGACTAAAGAGATATTTAGAAGGCAGAATGGATAGGAAGTTCCACTCACACAATCAACATGTACTTATTTGAGCATCTTTGTCACAGGCTCAATATTATGCTGGAACTGAAGATAACAGAAGTGAATACCAACCAAAGTCCCTGCCCCTGGCTTCAAGTAGCACATGCTTTATTGGGAAAGACAGACATTAAAATGGAAGGTAGTTGAGTGTGGGCAGTACTGGGAAGGAGAAGCCCCTAGTGCTAAGCAACCACAGACTCAGTGAGGGTGATCTCAGAGACCTGAGGTTTCTGGTCTTGGCAAGTGGGTCAAAAAGGTTCTTTCCACTGCAATGGGGAACATGGGAAAAATAGGTTTAGAGACACTAGTTTGGGGGAGATGTCACACAGGCAGCTCAATATGCAGATTGAAACGAAGGAGCAAGGAATAGGTGGCAGAAAGGTCTGGAATCATTTATGTAAAAGTTAACTCAACTCAATGGAGATACATATCAAATCTCTAAAAAACTCAACATATATGTGGGATGAACAAAGAAACAGAGGGCCTCAAAGGAGATCCTGCCTGTCTGGCCAACTAATGCTCTCCTGTGAACAAGACTTCTAAGGATTGCTTCACCTCTTCCCAGGCAGAAACACCTTCCCATCCTTTTCACCAAGCCTCACCGGGTCTTAGTCAAGCCATTGGTCTGCACCATAAAACTCCAACCCAGAGTTCCCTCTCCTGGATTCAAGCCATGTAACAGCAAGCCCTGGACTCAGATGTTTTTTGGTTAAGGACAGTGGCAATCTCAAGTATTTGTATGTTTTTGAATGGGAAAGCATATCGCTCATACACCCGGTAAGGGCTTAAGATAAAAAATTTATAGAGAACTTCTAAAACACAAACAGTCCAATTAAGAAATGGGCAAAGGACCTAAATAGGCATTTCTCTAAAGAGGACATACAGATGGCCATAGACATTAGAAAAGATGCTCAATGTCACTAATCATCATAGAAATGCAAATTAAAATCACAATGAGATATTGCCTCAACCCTGTCAGAATGGCTATCTTCAATAAATCAACCAACAAGTGTTGGTGAGGATGTAGGGAAAGGGAGACCCTCGTGCACTGTTGGTGGCAATGCAGATTGGTGCAGAATCGGTAGAAAGCAATATAGTTACCTCAAAAAATTAAAAATGGAATTACCCCTGCATTGGCAAAAAATAAAAAATAAAAAAATAAAATAAATAAAAAATAAAAATCTGAAGATCAGAATAAACTGGTGAATATAGTAGAATCAGGGGCAAAGAGAGGGAGTGGATTGATAATTATCAGGGGGAAAGGGGTGTGGGGGTGCAGAAAGAGACTGGATTAAAATCGTATAACCTATGGATGAGGACAATGGCGAGGGGTGGGAGGTAAGGGCAGAGGGTGGGGCAGGAACCTGGTGGAAAGGAGCAATGGGGAAGGGGGGAAGGAGAAACAATTGTAAAATCTGAGCAATAAAGATTTATTTTAAAAAATAAATAAATAAAACATAACTTACCTATGGGAGGGAAAAAGGAATTACCTTATGACCCAGCAATTCTGTTTCTGGGAATTATCTAAAGAAACCCGAAATGCTAATTTGAAAGACTATAAACACTCCTGTATTCATTACAGTGCTATTTATAATAGCCAAGATTTGTAAGCAGCACAAGTGTCCATCACTAGGTGAGTGAATAAAAAAGCATTGGTACATTTACACAATGGGATACTATTCAATCATTTTTTTTAAAGGAAAAGAAAATTTTACCTTTTTCTGCAGTATGGATGGACTTAGAGAGTATTATGCTAAATGAAATAAGCCAGCCAGAGAAAGACAAGTACCATATCATTTCACTCATATGTGGAATCTAATGAGCAAACTGAACTAACAAGCAAAATAGAGACAGACTCATAGATAGAGAGCAGGCTGAAAGTTTGAGGGGGTGGGAAGCTTGGAGGAGTGGAGGAATTCAGCAGAAAAGAGGAAGAACTCATGGACATGGACAACAGTGTGGTGACCACAAGGACAGGAATGGGTGACAGTGGAAGAGGATATAGGGGGAATAAGTAATGATGAAAAATATATAGAAAGAGAGCATATTAAAAACTTAGGAGAAATCTTTCTGAATAAAAAAGAAGAAAAGAAAATCTCAGGTATTTGTGCCCTGTTCCTAAATGGACTGAAAGATCTTGAATGACAAATCCTGGGTATAAAATTAGAAATGCAGTTAACATCCTCTCTACAGAACCAACAATAATACTCAATTTCAAAGAGTGTAATAAAGCAGTAAGTCAGTAGCAGAGCATTTGTGTGAACTATTTAGTCCAAAAGAACCTGAGTGCCTTCCTCAATACAACAGCAACCAATGTTCTGGGCGTTCTCCCAAGTTTCTCCCTGAGCCTCTGCAATGAATAGAGCCAGTCACAAGGTGAGCATTCGCTGCCTCTCCTTGTGCATTCTACTCCATTCTCTGGAATGCACTGCCTTCAGTCCCAGCAGCCCTTGTTTCCAGAATTCAAGTTGAAAAGAAATGATCTTCAGAAAGGACAAAATGTTTTACTAGCAAAAACACCAAGTTGCTGCAATAGAAGCCTCTTTCCCGTGTGTCAAGTCACAAAGTTTTAATTAAACCCCTTCAACGTAATGTTGTTTAATTCTACCATTTACAAATGATCCTCACTCATGATGTTTGATACTACCCTTCCATATGAAATACTAAGAAAGGGGGAGAGTAAATAACGTCTTGTTTCACAAATTACAGAAATTACTAGGTTCTCACCTGAATTATCATCTAACTCAGGTAAACTCAGGTAAGTAGTAGCTATAGGGACCGCCATCAGCCAGCACAGTGTCTAACGTACAGGAGTCACTCAAAATGACTGCTGAATGTCTGCATACTGAATAGATGAGAAAAGATTGGGGGAGAGGGGAACAAAATTGTAGGGGAGAAAAAAACATAGGAAAACAGAATGAGGGACAACAAGTAAGTAGCAAGAGTCTG